CACTTTATTAATTAATAATTGGCAATCGTTGATAGTTTCCCATTGTTACAAGTCTTAGAAATTGTACTACAAACAATACTTTTCATTGTCAACTCATAAATGTCTACAAAACACAGAACTGCACTGAGAAAAAAAATAGGCTGTTATAACTAAAAATTTAGTAAATGTAACTAGAAATGTGGATAGCATAGAGGACAGGTCAAAAATTTAGTTACAACGGCAAATATAAATTAGTTCGCACGACTTACGACTTTCATAGTTATGTCAACTAATATTTTAGTAACTGCAAACATTTATTCTTAACCTAAAAACTTGTTGCAGCCACTATTATATTATAGTTGTCTGGACTACTAAAACAAGTTAATCAAATTCTCTAGTTTCAGCTGTTACAACTAATTATTTTAGCTAATTAAGGTAATCTACCTAGTTATGATAACTAATATTTTCAGTTACCACAAAAAAGAAAATATATATAGCTAGTTATTCAAGCCATAATTTTGTATTGGTGTAACCAGTATAAATAGCGATGACAACTATTTTTCTAGTTGAATTTGCCTTCTTGGCTTAGCAGTGGCAACTAAAGAGTATTTGTTATAATACCATGAAAACTAGTTAAAACAGCAATCATTTTTGGTTTACTAAAAAATATGGAAATTTAACAATTTGTAATTAAAACCACAATAACCTTAAGAAAAAAAATATTCCTTAAGGTAAATATTGTGTTAATTTAATTACAAATTGCTGAGTTCACATATTTTTTTGCAAACATGAAATTCTTGCAAAAAAGGGACATTTGGGATGGGTAGGAAAATCAACAAAAATACATACATATGCTTTTAATAAATATTTTTATTTCAAAAGGGCTCATCAATCTAAAAAAAAATCAATAAATAGAAACTCTTTTAGACTATCAAAATAGGAACTTTTATGTCTTTTATGTCTAAAATAATTTTTCTGGGCAATACAAAACTAACTTTTCATTCTAAATAATAAGTGATTGCAGTCTAATCCCATGCAAAATGACAAGAACTTTCAACTAAACTTTGGTATTAAAGTGGTTTATAAAAAAATATTTATACATATTAGATTACCTATATCAGAACCTTAAGAAGCAACAAAACAAGTGCCACTATACTAAAAATAAGCTTATCAATATAAAAAAAAACTCAAAAAATATAAACTCTTTCAGACTATCAGAAAAGGAACTTTTATGTCCTATATAATTTTCCTAGACAATATAAAACTAACTCTTCATTCTTAAAAATCATAAGTAATTGCAGCTTGCAGCTCAATCTTATGCAAAAGAACAAAAACTTTTAACTAGACTTTGCTAATAAAGTGATTTATAAAAAAATATTTACAGGGTGTCCATTTTTCGAGGGCAACCATTGGGATATAGGAAATGTCGAGGGATACAGGCTTGGTCACATTGGGGCAAAGTTGCGCAAGTTCTTGCTTGACAGAAAGCCACTTCAAAATATGGATTATTCCGAATACTTCCAGATATAGTGAAAGAAGTACATTGGAAAGAGATAGGGTAGACTGTTGTGTATTTGACGCTTTCTTTTTCATTAAAAAAAAAACTATTCATCAATGACCAAATGTTTTACTGCTTTTGGGGGATCAAAAAGCTCCAAAAACAAGTAAAAAAATGCAAACCTCTATTTAAAAAAAATAAAGCTGATGATGATCAGCCAAAGACGAAACGTCAGATTTCAAATTTGGCTACATTAACGTGTCGAAGGGAGAAAGGTTGGCCCAATAAAGTGAAGTTTATTTTGAAATATCTTTCCGAATGAGCCCAGGAAAAAATAAAAACAATTATGAATTTTTTTTTTTTCAGATATTTCCGGGAGTAGAATATTTCAAATTTCAAAGTAGGATTTTATTAAACAAGAAATCGCGCAACTTTGCCTCAATTCAATCGAATCTGTATCTTTTAACGTTTCCTATATCCCAAAGGTTGCCCTCCAAAAACGGACACCTTGTATTAGATTACCTATATCAGAAACTTAGAAAGCAATGAAACAAGTGTTACTATACTAAATGAGCTTGTCAATATAAAAAAAAACTCAAAAATAACAACTCTTTTAGACCATCAAGAAGAGAAATTTTATGTCTAAAACAATTCTCCTGGGCAATACAAAACTAACTTTTCATTCCTAAAAATAATAAGTAATTGCAGCCTTATCCCATACAAAAGGACAAAAACTGTTTACTAGACTTTGCTATAAGTAAGTGATTCATAAAAAAATATTTACTTAAACTATTATTTTAGTATCAAGTATACAGAATTTCAATAAAAAACTCTTTCAGTTCAACACTGTGAAAGATTTTTGACAAATAATACACTCAAGCCCACTGCTAACTTTTGACTTCACCTATTTTTTTTAGAAACTATTCATAGGATTTTTATTATAATACATAATTTCAACTGTTATCAGATGATATTAAATTGTTTTTTTTAATCTCATGAATAGTTTCTAAAAAAAAAAAAAATAGTTGAACTCAAAAGTTAGCAGTGGGTCGATTTCTATGCACTTAAGTGTATTTTATATGTAAGTACATATGTTTTTTTTTTTGAATATTTGATAAAAAGGTGGTTATCTAAGATCTTCTAAATATTTTGCACAAATATAAGATTGTTTCGTTTGAATATGGTAGTTGCAAATAAATCTCTTATATCAGGTTGAAGCATAAATTTCAAATCTTCAGAATATGTTATCTGGTAAGCAAATAAATGTTCATTGAAAACGACAGTTTTTATTGGTTTGTAAATGAAACAGATGTCTTCTTCTGAATTAATAACAATTTTTTCTAAACGTCCTAAAATTGGTGGATCTTTATGTTTAAATATTAGTATATTTTTTTCTTGAAAAATCTTATGATCTAGAAGTACTTTATATGCCAAACGACCACTTTTTTTAAAAGAATCTAATACAGGATCATTACATAATGCTAAATTTAATAAATCTGGACCATGTTCTTTCTTAACATAAAATATTTTCGCCTTACTTTCAAAACCTTTACCCAAAGCAAATCGAGATGCTTGTTTTAATTGATCATATAGTATTATGGTTTTAGTTATATTTACTCTTGATGCAGAGAAATTAGCATAATGCTTAGATTGTCGATGCCTTGATTCATAGCGCAAAGTTGAAATTCTTTTCAATGGACCAACCTTCTTCATTATAGTTGGATAGTGTGTAAGAAGATGAAACTTAGGTGTAAGAGTTCTGAACAGTTTCAAAAATAAAGTATGGTGTTGATAAATTAAAATCCTAAGATCATCACACAAATCACATGTTACATATTCACTTAAGACAATTTTAAGAATTTTTCTAAACAAAATGTATAATTTCCAGTGCTTATTTTCATTAGGAATTAAGTGACCAAAAAGAAGACCTGCATTTAAAATAAATGATTTTAGTTCTGCTGCAGACATTTTCAAAGTTTTCTTTTTTAAATTCTCATAACTAATTACTGGAGGTCTGTTATGACAATTTCCAAAATCAAAAAACCTTATTTTGTTGTTTAGTGTCTCCAACTCAAAAAATTTATCAGCAATTATAAATTGATGTAATAAATTAGCCATAACCAACACACCCACGCCTTCAAAAATATCATGTGCTATATCTACAGAAAAGTTCTCCGTAACATGAAAATGTTCTATATTTTCCCATACAGGAAGAAATTTAATGCCTGTTAGTGATGGATCATTTAAAGCTAAGTCCTCAAAATAATTTTTATTATTTCTTAAGGAAGAAGTTACTTCATAGCACAGAGTTTGGGTATCACAGCGTGAAGTTTTGCAAAATCGACAAAAAAAATTTGAAGTAAAACTTTGCTGAAATCCCAATACTGTATTCACGCCTAAGTTATCTCCAAGAATCAAAGTAACACAAAAATATACTTTTCGTTCTTCAGGAAGTTTTATTACTATACCATTATTTTCTAGAGAGTTTAGTTCATCAACTAACTTGGTAAAAAGTATGTGTTCACCAAAGCGTTTTAAGTCACTACTATGAAATAGCATTGCAATAAAAATATTTTCTAAAGATGATTGAAAACTTGGAGGAATACATGGAATTGAATAATAAATTGCTCCAAGTTTATGAATTCCAGCATGGGAGCCCAATGGGTTTCCAATTTCAAATTCATCAAAATATATTAGAAGTGGAAAAACATCATTAGTATCAAAATTACGACATTTTTCTTTCCAGAATTCAGTTTGAACAATATTATAGACTTTACTTTCATTCTGAAGCTCGTTGATATAATTAACAGTATCTTTATATACATTAGGTAAAGAAAACAATTTTTCCAACGCTAAAGAAATTGGTACAAATTGAGCCATATAGTTTTTTCGAGTCGAATTATTTTTTTGAGAAAATTCTAGTGATTGTCCAACTACAATTTCCGTTGGAACAATAAAAAGACTCCGTTTTTGTAGAAACTTAAATCTCAAATATTCACTGTCTAAATTATTGAATAATGTGTGCAATTCTTGAAAATATCGTTTCACTTGAACTTTTTCAGCGTTAGTTATATCCAAAGTATTTTGCACAAAACTTTCAAATATAGTAAGTGGTTCAACCAAAAGATTCTGAACACCCATAATTACATCCTGTATAGATTTTCTGGGAATGCTTCCACTTATATAAAGATTGCTTAAAAACCTTACAATATTTTCCACTAATTTATCACTGAAAGTTTGAAAAAGCGTACTATTTGTTTCACTACTGATAACGTCGTGGTTAATATTGTCATCTAAAATCAAATTATTTTTTAAATAATCTTTTGCTTGGTTATTACCAACATTTTGAACCATAGGTTCTGTTTCATTTGGTTTAAATCTTTCGATTGTAGTTTTGGAATGTTTTACATTACCAACTTTTTCATGATATTTTAAATGCTTTCGGAAAGAATTTATGGAGGGAAAATTTCTGTTACATTCATGTTGTCCACAAACTATTAATGTATTTTCTGTATATCGGTGAATTATCTTTAAATGAGAAATTAAAGCATTAGCTTTAAAAAAAGTGTCTTTACATGCATGACAATTCATTTTTTTATGAATCAATCACTTACAGGTAAGTCAAAAAACAAGTACCTACTAAACTAAAAAAATTAAATAAGTACCTACAAACCTTATTTATTGAAGTGATATTGCAGGTCACATATCACCGACGCTGAAGAAGGGTGCTTCTTTTTTGGTTTCATGTTGAAAAGTATTTCTTCTATTAATAACCATATGTGTTCCGACTCACATGGATACCCAAGATCTAGCGCGTAAAACATTTTGAATGTCAATTCCAGGGTTCTTAGAGCAGAATCCACTTTAAATGATTGGTCTTCAATTTGTATGAAGAAATTACTACCCCCGATTACCACTGCAAATGGTTGCATAGTCAAATTATGCTGCGACAGTTTTGCTCGTCTCATAGAAATCCGTTCTTGAAATTCATCAAAATTCTGAAAAGATAAGACACATTAGTTATTTATAACTTTGATAGTAGCATCCAAAAAAAAAACAACAGTCCACTTTTAACATTGGTTCATGAAATTACATTTTTGACACCAACAGCAAGCAGTAAAAAGTTTACCTATTTTCAATTGTGTTTGTAGAAAAAATGAAATTAGGTACCCACTGCTCATTAATTCAATAAATCTTACGATTCTTGTCCATGTCATAGTCAATTTTGTTCAAAAAAAAATTAAGACAAATAATACATACATCAACCAGCATGAAAAAACTGTCCAAAATTTCACTTCTTGTCGGCCTCCAGTTTCCACCTTTTCTAGACTTTTTAAGAGTGATTGGAGGAAATAAATAGACCAAAGATATTATTGCATTCAAATTGGGATCTGTAAACGATATTAATAAAATTATAGAGAATCTGCAATAATTTTTAAATAACCTTCATAATGTGTGTCCAGTTTTATCTTTCTCTCCTTTGCTTCGTCCAAGATAGCATTTCTGACTTTGGGAAAAGTTGAATAAATGACATCTATTCGGTCACCGTAGCGAAGATTAAAGTCAATTTCCAGCTGTATAAATATAATAATATTAAAATGAGATATCAACAAGAAAAATTAAGGAAAACTCTCACCAACTGAATTCCTGAGTCCAATCTTAGACAAGGAAAATCACGGAATACATCAAGAATAGATTTTTTCGCGTAAAGACTTCTCCGCATTTTAAAAGTTGCTTCCCATGCCTCTAGCACTTTTACGAAGGGTTCAATTGCGACTTTTAGAAAATCCAGTAATTTTGATGTTTCATCTCGAGTTCCAATTGTTTCAAATGGATTTTCATATTGATCCTCATTTTCTTTGTTTTCAGTTATCCTGTGGCTATCAGCCAATTTAATTGCTTTTCTAATATTATGGTAGCGGTGCCAAAGTTTTCCTTTTGGTCCGCCCTCTTGGTTAGAAATCATATAAACATCCGAGCTTTCTAGGATAAACACATGCGGTATTTCTTGCAAAAAAAGTTTTATAACAATTTCATTTAATTTTAATTTTTGCATAATATTTAATGAAAAAATTTGAAAGGCAGTAGACACTTACCTCTGAAAATGCACTGTCTATGAAGTCCACTTTAATAATTTTTGATTTTTTTGGGGAAGGCAAAGGAGCATCTGCGGGCATCTTAAAAACAATGGGAATGGAATTGAATGATTCTGTGGATTCAAAGGTATCGATGGTATCAGTTGATGCAGTTGATGCAGTTTCAATCAAAGATGTTTCATTCTTCTAGAAACATTAAATATTAAAAATTAAATACAACAGTAATGAATATAATTCTCTCACTATTGGAGCATTTGGCATCTTTTTCTCTTGCAAATATTTCTGATACTTTTGTTTAAAATTAAGGCGTGGACCCGCCTTGGTAAAGATTTTTCTAATTGTTTCCTCGTCTAGCAAGTCAAAACTATCATCATCTATTCCTTCTTCTAAAACATAAAAAGCACCAATCCATCATAACTCCACCTGGTAATTTTTGTCTCTTTTTTTTATGTTTTTTTTATTATTTGATTTTAAAGTTTTGAGCCCATAAACAAAAAATTAAAAAATGTACTTAGGGATTTAGAGGTTAATTTTTGAAACTAGCAATAGCGATTTCCTTTTGTAGAATCAGTGCAAACAAAAATGACACTCAATGCGCACTGAGTGACAAATGGAAATCGCCATAAGCCGCTTTCCAGCTGACGCTTTTGAGCACGCAATCGAGCATTTGTGCACGCAAATGCTTCAAGCGCGTGTTCATGTTCGAGCCATACAGCGGTTCGAGAGCTGCTAACTTTTGCGTTTCAAACACAGAACACTGTGCTGCACCGTGCTTGAAGCACACAGCTGAAAAGCGGCTATAATGAAACAAAACAGATATAATTGAATTTGACATGGACAGAACGAGCATACAACATTGCAACATCCAAAAATAATAATAAAATAAAAAGGCTTGTGTTGCCAACATATTATTATGTAGTTACTAAATTTTTGACTTGAGGAATTATCTTTAAAAAAAAAACAGACTTTAGCTGTTTTCTCGCGTCCACCTTTTTGACATTGTTTCAAAACCAGGTTTGAAACGGGCGATGGTGTTTCCTTTGACTGTTCCAAACCGGTTTTGAACTAATGTCAAAAAAGTTAACGTGAGAAAACGGCTCAACTAAATACGCACTAAACACCTATGAAAAACACATCATTGTCTAATTACCTTCGAATACACCTAGATAAACCCCAAAATTCCAATTTCGGAGTTGGGTTTTATATGACATATTATCATCCTCTTCAATCTCATTTGTCTCCATGTTGAAACGGTCAGAGCAGAAAATCACGAATCACTGAGCACGTAACGTAATCACAAGTTTTTTCAATAATAAATAATTATTATTTTTTAATCTTTAGCGCCACAAATCGGCACGCACATCAAAAACACGCGTTTGTCGTAACCTGTTCAAACCAATTTGAATTCAGCGCGCGCATCGCCACGGATCGGGTTTGGTGCTAAACTGATCGGTCACCTACGGCTAGTGGCAAAGTACTGGAGGGAGAAACGAGATTGGCACTAATCGACAGACGTCGGACCATGAGCGCTGCATTTGATTGGTCCGAAGGACTAACTAGAAAATACTAGTTGTGGGAACCAGGTTGCTACAACTGTTTTTTTAGTAATATTTTGGTTATTTTTTATTTAACTAACTTAATTAGTAATCACAACATGTTGCGATAACCAAAATAATAGTTACCTATGTTTTAACAACCATTTTTTTACAACTAATTTGAAATGACTGCAATAACAAGACCTGGCTGGTCGTGATAACTATTTTTTTAGTAATGACTACTATAAAAATTCAACCCACGTGCTTAGTTAACGGGTTTTTCTCAGTGTGAAATAGAGACAGACATCAGACCAATAAAAAGGCGCCCTTACAAAGTATCGCAGGTAGAAAGAGGAAAGATAGACGAGCAAATAAAGGAAATGTTAAAACCTGATATCATCAGGCCATGTCATTTCCTATGGACAAGCCCAGTGGTGCTAGTAACCAAGAAAGATGGATCTACAAGATTTTGCATAGATTATAAAAAACTTAATATTGTGACGAAGAAAACAAATAATCCATTACCTCAAATCGATGACATATTAAATTACCTGGGCATAGCGAGATATTATAGTAGGTACCTTAGACATGTTCTCAGGATACTGGTAGAGGAAAATTCAAAACAATATACAGCATTCGTGGCACAAGGCCATGACTCGTACGAGTTCAACGTCCTCCCATTCGGATTATGTAATGATCCGTCTGTGTTTCAAGAATTCTCGGATATGGTCTTTTGGGATTTGAAATGGAAGGAAATATTAGTGTATATGAATGGCATTATCATATTCTCAAAAACGGAAGAAGAACAGATACAAAAATTAAGAAAAGTATTCCAGAGACTAGAGCCTAAGAGACTAAGAACCTTACCCTGAAAAACAGTAAGTGAACATATTTTCAATAAGAAATAAAAAAGTTGGGATTCACAGAAAATAGAAGCGGGAGAAAACTAAATGAAGAACAGCTGAAAGGCATTAAAGATGTCCCGAAAACAAAGAAGTTAAAGGAAGTACAAAGCTTTTTAGGACTTTGTAATTTCTATCGAAAATTTATAAGGGACTTCTCCTCGATCGCCAGACAATTCCATGAAGTTACAAGAAAAAATAATTTCAAATAGAGACCAGATCAAGAAGAGGCATTTAACATCTTGAAAGAAAAACTAACGTCAGCACCTCTTTTACAACATTACAACCCCGACATAGGATGCACCCTACATACCGACGCTTCAATAAAGGGAATAGGGACAGTCTTTCTGCAAAAAGGAGAAGACATTGAAGACAATAATTTACACCCAGTTGCATGTATAAGCAGAAGTCTGTCAAAAGCAGAACAAAATTACGCAATCACAGAGTTAGATTTTTTAGTAGCAGTCTGGAGTATAAGATACTTGAGACACCTATGGACGTCCTGTAGAAATAGCAACTGACCACCATGCACTGCTGGTTGGACTCCATAAAAGAAAATAATAGGAGACTAGCAAGATGGGCCATTAAACTATCAGAGTACGATTACAAAGTGATCTACAGAAAGGGTAGCGCACACAACGATGTGGACTGTTTATCAAGTAACCCAGTACTTAACGCATTATCACCAACTGAGGAAAAGGAAATGGACGAAATACCCACCAAATAAAAACATTTGCACCAGAAAGCACTAAAATTAGTAACTTACAAGAACAGGATAAAGATGTGGAAGAAAGTATGAGAGCGGTAGAAAACCCAGACGACACGAACATCCCTATAGCAAAAAGGAAAAGAGCGAAAAATTTTAAGATAATTAATGATACCTTATACAAAACTAGTTATACAAAGGATTAGAAAACTTACTATAGTAGTGATCCCAAACAGTTCAATAGGGGAGATACTGTGGGAAATGCACACTATGTCCTTAAGCCATACGACTGTCCACAAGCCAGTGGAACAATTGAACAAGCCATGGGACTGTTCAACAACCAGCGAGACAGCCCATAAAACCACTAGAACAGTCTACAAGTCACCACAACTACCCACAAACCAATAAAGTACTCCCACGTTTTGATTCATAATAACGGGTTCTATTTCTGGATGGAAATTTGACTAAACAAGTAAGTATATTGTTGAAATAATGATGAGAAAGTTTTAATGAGTCTTAGGCAGAAAGGGAAGGAATAGAAACTCGAGTAAGAGAAAAAGCAATTAAAACGACTAGACTAATGAAAGACTTATTAATATATAATTATAAAAGTAGATACTTGGAAAGCATATTTTTCTGTACCCATAGGTATAAGCTCCCATTATACTATCTGGAAATAAATGAAAAACTCTAGTCTGATAAAATTCCCTTGTTGAAAAATTGAGATACAAATAATTTTTTAATCCCCATTAATTCCACCTACGAAACTTTTCCAGCGACGCTATAAAGTTTCCCCTGCAATGCGCAACTGCCAGAGATGAGTTTCCCACGATTATCCAGAGTTTTTGCAGCATCCGCAACGCGTAGTCTCTCGTGACACACGTCAATAATATTCCCATTACGCGTCGAGAGGGTTAATTAAGACGATATCTTTTCTTTCGAGAAAATCCTACAGGTTGTTTTGTGTATGATTTTTGGATTTATTGTAGTAACATAATTTGTTAATGTTTAAAGCGGACAAAAATAGGAATTATTTGTTGAGAGGCACACCTCGAAAAGTAATAAAACTGTCAACAAAAAGGGATCGTCCCATATAATAGGTGGACTATAAGTTCCACAGGTAAGTATTTTTTTTTTTTAATTGAAATAATATATCTTAATCTTGAGATCAAATATATTGTGAGTAGAAAGGCAAGTGGTGTATAGTGTCTTTTCAATGGAAGATTATATACCATTTTTGAATTATTTATTTATTTTGGAATCTAAAGCCTTTGTTAGGTACCTACTTGGTTTTTTGTTTCTGTATCAGTTGATGTATTATCCAAAATTAGAACACTTAGAACAGAACTGGTAGGGCAAACCATTATATTCCTATTTTTTTCTTTTGGCTTAAAGAACAATGTGGAAATAGTGTGAAAAGTAGCACTTTTCAGAATGCCTAACTTTTAACAATGGACATTGTCATTTTAAAGAAATATGTATTTCAGTTCTTCATTTCTATTTTTAGTCCATTCATATTCTTAAATCTTGATATTGTGGCGATTGAAATTTAAACAGTTGTACAGCAAAACTAGGTATCTACATGAATTTTCTCATGTGTGTGGAATGGTTTTTTCATGTCGCGATGCCAGAAAAAGTTTGGTTTTTGAATTTAGAATGAATTGAATCACCTGAAAATGATCTGTTCTAGCAAAGGTTCTAGGTACCCAGACAGCAATTTCACATATAATATTTCAGCAGCAGAACCCTGATTTTTCCCTGAAGTGCCAATTGTGGGATTAAGTTTTTTTTATACAAATTCTTGTAGATCTTTATGTCTATACAGGGTGTTTTTGAAAAAATATATAAGACCTATAAATTTTCAAAAAATATTGATGTTTTTCTTGTTTCTAGAATTTTGTAACTTAAATTAAATTTAAGAATTGATGTTGATACTTTTACACATAGAGACGCACCTGATGGAGGTAACTGACAAATCCCCACACGCGTGGAGAATATGTAAGTTTTTTAAAACACCCTGTATACAAGATGTGTCGTTATCATTTACCTATGAGAAAACCTACATTATTAATAACATCAAAGCCAAATACTCATCTTTTTACGCTAAAAACACCTATAATTTAAAAATAATTATAATATCACATAATCGATAATGAATCATCCTGTATCTTAAATTCCCCAAAGATGCCACTTTGTCATCACTCGGATAAAAGTAGGAGACCTTGTAGATGACAAATCCGTTAAAAAAAAAAATTATTCCAAATTTTTGGGTTCAACCCAGTGACTGCCGGACTATAATGTTATTATGCACATGGCTATTTATTTAAAATATTTAGGTTCTAACTGGACTTGGTTACCTTTCAGATGAACATAATGAATATGCTACACTGATGCTATAAATGTACTTTTAACTCCGTAGATTGTCTTTGTGGGGATTTGTCAGTTACCTCCATCGGGTGCGTCCTTATGGGAATTAGGGGAAGCTCGCTGGGTCTGTAATCCAACAGATTCAGAGGGTAGTGGGAAAATAAAATACCCACCGTAAAACAAAAACTCACCCGGTCCTCCAGGATGGGGGTTGAGACATTAGACTGGTTCTCTAATACTCGGAAAATACAAAACTACCAAAAAACCTAAGCGAAGCCTCGGAACATTGACGAACGACGAACACGGCAAAGAAAATGGACTATGAATCTCGCTACGTGGAATGTGCAGGGTATCAGACTGAAAACGGATATCATTGCATCAGAAATTCAGAAATTGAACATCGATTTAGTAGCACTAACCGAAACTAAGAAAAAAGGAAATGGCACCGAAAATGTTGGAGAATATATTCACCTTTTTACTGGAGTGTCAAAGGACATGAGAGCAGCTAGAGGGGTATCCATATTGATAAGGAAAGACTGGAAAAACAAAATTAACAACTGGGAAGCTGTAGATGAAAATATCCTAACGGTCAACTTGAAACTACATGGCTATAACATCACCATTATAGCAGCCTACACTCCATCAGAGGACGAAAGAGTCGGCATTAAGCAGGAGTTTTTTGACAAATTGGATGAAGTCCTAGTAGATATTGGAAGAAATAGAGAAATTATAATGCTAGTGGATTTCAATGGAAGAACGGGAAGGACGAACAATAGCTCAGTTGTAGGACCATTTGGAGAAAAAATAATCAATGATAATGGCCAAAGGCTCATACATCTCTGTGAGACCCACAATCTTAGAATAAATAATGGATTTTTCAAACACAAAGATATTCACCGCTACACATGGATACAGAATACCCGTAACCTGAAAACTATTATTGACTATGTGATAAGCAAACAAAAAACAAACATAGAGATAAACGACGTAAGAGTCCTAAGAGGAATAACTTGCGGGTCAGATCATTTTTTAGTAAGAGCCAAAATAAAGTTGCAATTTAGGAAAACGAATAAGAACCCAGAGGAACAAAACACCAATGCCATACTAACGGACACAGTGGATACAACAAATTATAATTTTGACAGTTTTAGAGATGACAGCACTGTATTTCTATATCAGAGGCGACTCGATAGCAAACTATTGAACCTTGAAGAATGCACCTTCAATAAACTCTATGAGAATATTAAAAGGAGTAGAGGAGAAGCCACCCAAGAAGCAACAGGAACGAAGGAAAAAAATACCAACAAGAAATACTGGTGGAACGAAGAGATAGAGCTATTAGTCCAACAGAAGAAGCAAAAATATCTGAAATGGCTAACAACAAAAAATGAACAAGACCTTGAAGTTTATAAAGGCACAAAAAGACAACTAATAACGTGCATCGCTATAGCTAAGAACGAGTCATGGGATAAGAAATGTGAAGAAATTAACACTTACATAGGAGGAAGGAAATGGTCAGAGGTATGGAGATTTATATCAAATGTCAAAAACCCAGGAAAAGACAAAGCTAATCAGCCGTATGAATAAAAATAGAGCATTTGCTTCTAAGCAAAAGGTAAAAGTATAAGCATAAGCTTCAAGTAAAAGGTAGAAGTGGAAGCATTTACTTCATATCATATGAATAATGAAGACCTTTTACTTGCGAGCATATGCTTCAAAGAAATGAAGTGAAAGATATTACCTGTTGTACCTGTTGCTTGAATCTAAGACTTGAATGCCAAATTAAACCACCAGAACGATAATATCAATGGATTCATAGGAAGTGGTAGTAAAAAAACGCCAATCATGGAAGAACGCAAAGCCACCGCAAGCGGACAATGCATCATTATGGAACCGTTGATTGGTGGTACACAGTCACACAGATGGTTCGAAGGTAACGGAAGGAGTCGACCTTGGAATAACTGGACCAAACTTTAAAGTTTAAACTCTCATTAGCAATGGGCAAAACGTCCACAAAATTTCAAACTGAGGTTCTGGCCATAAGCATCTGTCGAGTCCTTTTAATAGAGCACATTTACATACTGTCCGACAGTCAAGCGGGTCTAAAGGTTCTAGAACCCAATCAAGTGCAATTTTCAGCTAGTTTGGGAGGGTAAAAATATCCTTAAACACTTAGCTTAGGAATAAAGTGAAGAGGGCAACGAGGAGGCGGACTGTCTTACAAAGCAAGGCGCTTTAACACCTTCTCAAGGCCCAGTGGCTTTCTGTGTACTAATGAAAAGCCATGTCTTCAAAGAAATCAACAGATGAAGAAGGTTCATATATCTGAGATCTGAACAGATTCTTGACAATAAACAGAAGAGACATTAGAGGAGTTGTTGGTCGACTGCTCACTGGGCAGTTTCTGGTGAAATCACCTAAAAACAATAGGCAAATCAGTTTACGAATATTGCAGATCTTGCGAACAAGCATTAAAAACTACAGAACACTTAATCTGTGAATGCCCTGGTCACTTCTGCAAAAAGCTGAAATAGCTTGCTCACACCCCAATAGGTGGGTAGGTACTTTACCACCCAGGAAGCTGGCCTCCTTTGGAAGGAGCCTACAAATCTTGAACAAGCTATAACGACTGCTAATGCAATCTACAATCTACAAAAAAACGGGAAATAAGAATATTCGGAAATAATTTACCAAAATAGTAAACATACATCTGCTCTGGAGCAGATGCATTTTGCAAGTAGTAAATGCTCCCAATTTGAAGCAAATACTCTCTTTTATTCATAAGAAAAAGAGTGTTTGCTTTTTCCTGGAGCATTTGCTTCCGACTTTTAAGTATAAGGTTTTGCTTGAACTTTTATTCATACTGGATGATGCATTTGCTTCAGATTTTGCGAGAAAAAGCAAATGCTCTTTTTTATTCATAGGGCAGAATATCCAGATTATTAAACCACAGCAATGGGTAGAACATTACAAGGGTCCATTACAAGAAAGTGGACCAAAATATACATTAGATTCTCCAAGACATATTGAAGTACATGGAGAAGTAGTTGAGATATCTGAAGAAACAGAACAACGTGGAAGTGGACGATGGTCAGGAAATTCTGCAATGTCAAGAATATGAGTATCTAGGTATCACATTCGACAACACCGGAACAGACGTGATAAAAAAATAATAGGATGCCAAAATGGAATATTATGGAGCAAGGAAATTACAAAGAAGAGAAAATTCAATATATACGAGACAATGATAAAGAGCAGCCTTCTATTTCGAGCCGAGACTTGGAGAATTACAGACAGACAAAAGAAAAAAGTAGAAGCAGTTGAAATGGATGCTATTAGAAGATCCATGCAAATCTCACGAAGAGACAGAATAAGGAACGACAATATAAAACAACAAATGGGTATAGAAGGTACGATAGTCCAGGACATTGAAAAGAAACAACTTACCTGGTATGGACACGTAGAACGAATGCTTAATGACAGCTGGTCCAGAAAAATGCTGCACTGGCAACCAACAGGAGAAGAAAACGAGGAAGACCAAAACTGGAATGGCAGAAGACCATACAAAAGTCTATGAGTGAAAGAAATCTCTCATCAGAGGATTGCGACGATAGAAGAGGATAGAAATTAGGTGTCGGACAACGAAGAAAGACGTGCTAAAACGACATCTATATATATAGATTGTCTTTTTTGTTTTTATGGAAATCTGACTACTCCAGAGTAAAGAATTCAGAATGTTAACGCATTTTATAC